GCACCGAAAGACGACCTCCTTGAAGCGGGCGCCCATCGCGAACTTGGCGAGCATCTCCGCGCTGCGCTCGCAACTCGGCGCCCGCGTCTGTGCGAGGAATCTCTCATGGACGAAATCGGGGAAGCGCCCTCGCTGCTGCCGAGGCCGCCGTGGTCGAACGCCCCGCGCTGCGCCCCCCGAGCTGCCTCTCGAGACGCGTGGCTCCGCGTGCCCGCGACCGTCCGCGCGGCGGCGCCGCCTGGCTCGAAACGGCGTGCGCAGCACCTCGTGGTCTTCTCGCTATTGCTGCGTCGGTTCGCGCGGCCGACGCGCAGCCCTTGCCGCGGACCGCTCTCGCGCTCCCCTTGGCGCTGGTGATCTCGGGCCGGGCCCGGCGGCGCTGCCGGGGCGCTTCCCGACGCCCGCGGCGCTGCCGGGGCCCTTGCCGACGCCTGGCCACCTGCGGCTCCGCAATCGTCATGGACTGGCCACGCAGCGAACCGTCGGCTTGCGATCCATGCTCTGGCTCTGCTTGGAGAAGCCGACCACCTACTCTATCACCCTCTTTGTTTGCCTAGGTGTAGGGCATGAGGTCCATCTCCATCTCGTGCGCATTGTTCCGTTGCCTGGAAGGGGTGGCAAACCCGATGCCAATTTCTGCGCGAAGCTGCCGTCCGCACCGGAAACCAACCTGCGCTTGGCGTCGACCACCTCCGAGAACGAGGCGAAAGCCCTACTCGCCGTTGCCACTCTCGCCTTGGTGCCTCGCACCTGCGTCGCGCCGCCAGAGCCGATCGCCTCGCCGATCACCTCCTTCGCGCCCTCGTCGGCGACCCAGCCCTCGTCGGCGACCCAGCCGCCGTTCGCCGCGCGGCAGCCCTCGCCCTTAGCACTCGTGCCATTCTCGTGCGTTGTGTAGTCCAGCCCGACGTCCCTCGGCACCGCCGTCGCAGCTGCGCGCGAACCGGTGCCCGTCGCGATCCTGCGACTGGCCCTGCGCGTGTCCGCGCCCAGTCTGCTCGGCTCGTGCGCCAGCTTGTCGCCCACCATGCCGTGCTCCACAATCAGGTCGAGTGCCTTCCAGGCCGCGTCCTTCTCGTCCATCGTGAGCGGCGCCAGCCGCAGCCCGCGCGGCGACTTATTAGGCTCGGGCTCGCGCGAGTAGAGATTCCTCCTCTTCGGGCAGTCCCGAGAGATGTGCCTGTGCCCATGGCTATTTAAGCACTTGGGTACTGTGCACTTGTCGCCTTGCCAGTCTTGCCCTTGCCGTCTCTATGTGCTTTGCCCTTGCCGCCTTTTCCGTCAGCTTCGCCTCGACCGCGTCCAGCTCCTTGCGATGCCAGCAGTTCTCCTCATCGTGGCCCTTGCCCCTGCGGACGTTGTAGCGACTCTTTCCCTTGCCGCTGCCGAAGGCAGGGTGGTCCATTGGCGCTGCTCCGATGTTGACTACAGCCGCGGTCGCCTGGGAGCGCCACGCAGGATCTCCTTCCGAAACTTCGGCCATTCAGTCGACCTTTGTGCGTGCATGATCATGTTCTGTCTGTCTCGAACGCGACTCAGGAACCAGTCTGGCGACGATGCCGATCCTGATCGCATCGCTGAGAGAATCGCCAGAGGCTGACCATTGCAAGATGATCTCTCGGTCGAAGGCCTCGTCATTTCTCCACTGAAATCCCATGCTAGCAGCGTCATCAACTGTCCAGCGTACCGTAGATGTAACTGCCGCCGTGCCTCGAAGCCCTCCAGTCTGCCTGCGTTCAGCACCACATCGAAAGCGTGGTTCCTGCAAGTCCGGATCTGCCAATAGCCGAGCGTCCTTGCAAACTGCTGGTCTCCCGGCTCGAGGTTGGCAGTGATCGCTGGGTCCTCCGAGACCTTCGAATTCGCCATCGCCGCCGCCATGTTGGGGTTCGTCGCACCAGCGAGGGCTTCAAATACCACAGGACAATCTCGTCATGGCGGCTTGGCTCCATCAAACATCTTTTGCTTGCCAAGCATCTTCATCTCCGCGGCCATCCTGTCATCTGCCGGACCGGCCGCCGCAGCCGTGCCGGTCCCCTCTGTGAAGCTCGGTCAGCCGCCGCTTGCGCGGCGTTGGCTGCTTTACCTGTGGCGTCCGCTTTGCTCGAGGCTGCCGAAGCTCTGCTTGAACTCGCTCCAGTGCTCGGCGGAGGGCCTGGACGTCCTGCTTCGATGGTATCCCTTCCCTGTTGTTTGACCTCGTTCAACAAGCGTCCAAGGACAGCCCAGCACCGTTTCTTGTACGCTAGGCGGCCCAGCCTCCGCACGAAACTGGCCCACGTCCCGATCCCTTCCACCTCGTCTGGAAACAGCTCGAATTCACGCTTGGCCGCCAGCTCTACGTCTGGCTTCTGCACCAAGTCCGCTGCCCGCAGACGTTCACGGGAAGATGGGGCGAGCCGGCGGGACATCCGCTCACGTTACCACAGATGGATATTTTCCCAAATCTTTCGAACCGCAACGTTGTTACGGCCCTTACTTCTGACTCTCGGGGTGCATATCCTTCTGTATAGGTATATGTATACGTAGATGTGTATGTACATAGTTGTATGAAAGTATGCATGCATGTATGTATGCATATCTGCATGAATGCGTCTATACATGTATGAATGTGTACTTGTAGGTGTGTGTGCATGCATGTATGCGTGCATGCATGCATACAAGTACATATGTATCAATTGATGAATGCGTGTGTGTATGCACGTTTGTCTTTATGATTGTATACATGTGTGTATACATGTCTGTATGTATGTCTGTAGGAAGGAAGTGTGCATCTATGTATGTATGTATGTATGAATGTGTGAGTGTATGCATGCCCGCATGGCAGTATGCATGTGTGTGCATGTGTGTATGCATGTGTGTATGCGTGTACGCATGTATGTACGGATGCATGTGTGTATACGTAAAAGTATGCCTATATATGTATGTGTGTATGTATGCATGTTTGTAGGTAGGTAGGTCGGTAGGTCTGTAGGTAGGCTCGAAGCCCATACACGGCAGATGGGAAAGAGGCGGCGAGCGAAGACAGTATCCCTCACCCTACGCAGCAGTGCAGACGCCTCCTTCTCCTCTTCGCTCGCTCGCGCAAGAGAGGCTGGAGCCCGATGCAAGCACCGTGAGAAAACATCGGAACAAAGAACGAGGCAGGGCAGTACCCTCAACCGCGACCTCGAGAGGAAAACGCACCGCACGCACAAGAACGGCTCGTGCACCTGGAGCAGGAGGAGGAGGAGGTTCCAGAAGGTTCTCAAAGAGCCTTCTGGAGCCTCCTCCCCCTCCTCCTCCTCTCCTCCTCCTCCTCCTCCTCCTCCTCCTCCTCCTCCTCACCCCCTCCAGGGGTGGCGTCGCGAGCTCCGGGAAGACATCGGGCCCGACCCGAGGCCTGGCCTCGCGGCCACGGCCGAACTCTTGCCCGCGGGCCCCGCCTGCTTGCTCCGCCTCCCGTCTCCTCCCCCTCCTCCGCCGCCTCGCCTGAGGTGCTGGCGCCGGCGCCGCACTCTTTTCTCGCACGAGTCGGGGAGACGCACGACTCGTGTTCGGGGGGCTCAGGTTGGCCTGGCGGGGCCATCAAGAAAAGGACGAGACCCAGTCAGAAATTTGACGCGTGCACCCGCTGCAGACAACCCACGAAAACTGGACCGTCAAAACCCAGGACGCGCTCGTCAAAAAGCGTCGGCGAACCCGAGATCCGGCGTACTCGAGTCTTACGTTTCCCCGATTTTCGCAGAAAACGATGTCTCCCTATTTCGGGCCCCAGAGCGTTCACGGATCGATCCGGCTTGGGATACATCGCAGAAAAACTGGATCTAGGGCTCTGGTCGTGATTTCTCGTAATGCCTGTTGTTGCGACGTCGAATTTCAGGGCCCCCTTCCCCCCTCCGCCCCCCGGCGGCGTGCCGTCCAAAGTGCCCAGGCTGCGGGGCTCCGCGGTACCCTCGAAGGCCTGGAGTGGAACGCTCTGTTCACATCTGTACTGTTTTACCTGATGCGAAGAGCTGAGCTGGGAATCACGCGCCAGGTGCCATACAGGGCGAGCGTGGACGCGACTGGAGTCCTCACCTCCCCCCTCCCCCCCCCGCCATCAGTGGCTGGACGGAATCAGGAAACCTGTACAGACAACCCCTGGACACGGTTTGCAGACTTCGAGGTGTGGGATTGTCTGAAGGACGATTTCATCAACAGATGAACAATCTTCGACCTTCCCGATAACTTTCGGTCGGGCATGTCCCCCTACAGGCGGATTTTGGACGAGAGAAATAATCAACATAATACCCCCAAACATAATCAAACATATGCAAAACATCGTCCCCAGAATATGTGTTGTTCCTTCTGAGTATTCGTCCTGTAGAGGGACACGCCCGACTTAACGATAGCTCGCTTGCGGAGCTCTGCGCCGGCTTCCGTTCCGCTCCGTTCCCTCCCCCTCCTCTTCCTCTCCATCCCTCCTCCTGGTACGCCAGGCTTGTGTCCTGAAGACTTGCGCGTTGCTTTCTGACGCCGCGGGGATCGTCCATGCTTGATCGGTCGCGGCTTTCCGATAGCGCGGATCGCTCGACATCGGCAAGATCCGCCCACTCGGGGCGCAACCGAGAAACGCATGCGCCAGGGTCGCCACCGCGTCGACACGAAGCGAACCTGCCGTGCGCAAATCCTCCTCGTCGCACCACCAGTCGTGTCAGCAGGGCGAGCTGGGCGTCATGGCTGTGATGCCTCACTGCTCCTCGTACTGAAGCTTGACAGTTCCAACCGCGCAGCGGGCAGAGACCGTCTTCAGAATGGGGCTGTCGCCTTCGTCTTCTCGCCTCCACTGCAGGGCCCAACGGGCGCTCCTCCTTCAAGGGGGCACTTCCTGCAGTGAAGGTTCACTGTGGCAGGCGCTGGCGAGGGGACTTGGGACGGGAAGGTGTACTGCAGCACCAGCGATGCCTCGTGGATTCGCTCTTAGTCTCCCCTCCTCCTCTCCTCGCCCCCTCACCTCATCTCCCCGCTAGGCTCGCAGCCCATGCGTCCGTGCTCGAATGGAAAGCTGCCCGTGAAGGCAAAATTGGCGTTCTCCTGGCACACCGCGGCAACAGGTGGGGACGAGCAGGATGTATGAGCTCAAAGCCGCTACGATATAACTATACATATATACATATACATGTGTATATATATATATATATGTATATATTCCCCAAACAGTGCTTGCCCTTAGGGATTCTTACAGTCTGCCAGCACACACACGCCCACGCCCACGCCCACGCCCACGCCCACGCACACGCACTCGCACACGCACACGCACGCACAGACACAGACACACACACACGCACACAGACAGACACACAAACACGCACGCATGCACGCACGCATGCACGCACGCACGCACGCAAGCACACACACACACACACGCACACAGACACACAGACGCACACACACACACACCGACACATATACAGGCACAGACACAGGCAGAGACGCAGATACAGACACCGACACAGTTACACACAGACACACACCTCACAAACACACACACACACACACGCGCGCGCACGCGCACACACACACGCGCACGTGCACACAGACGCACACAGACACACACAGACACACACATATACACACACGACACACACACACAAACACGCACACAGACACACAGACACACAGACACACACACAGACACACACACACAGGCACACACCGGCACACACAGGCACTCACACACACAAACACACACAGACACACACTCACAAACACACAAACACACACACACACACACCGACATTCACACATTCACACACATTCGCACACATTCACACACATTCACACACATTCACACACATTCACAGTCACACTCGTACTAACACACAAACACGCACAAACACACACAGACACACACCGACACACAGACACGCAGACATACACACAAACACACAAACACACAGACACACACAGACACACACAGACACACACAGACACACACACACAGACACACACACACACAGACACACACCAGACACACACACACAGACACACACTCACAAACACACTCACAAACACACACACACCGACATCCACACATCCACACAATCACACATTCACACACATTCGCATTCGCATTCATACTCATACACAGACACACACAAACACACACAGACACACACAGACACGCAGACACACACAGACACACAGACACACAGAAACACACAGACACACAGACGCACACACACACACACGCACACACACACACGCACACACAACACGCACACGCACACGCCCACACATATACAGACGTATACACACATACACACAGACACACCATACTTAAGAGCCCCTAGGGTTGGGCGCGGGTCATGGTCATGGGTTTGGTATACAAAATGCCCTCCCTGGGGCGTGCGTGTTCTTAAATCCGCCGACCCTGTCGGCGTGTGTGAGGGGTTTTTCCGTTCGAGCCGTCATCTCCGTGATTCTTTGTACTTGTCGTCTCTGTCCTTCCCTTTCCCTGGGAGACCTCTTCCCCTGGGCTCCAGCCAAGCCGACCTTGAGCAACCTCGTAATTGAGTCGAAGGGAAGCCCCTTCCCTTTCATCCCTCCCCCGCCGGGAAGGGGGGGGGGTAGCGACCCCCCCCCCGGGTCAGATACGACGCCCCCCCCTGGGACTCCTCTTCCCCTGGGCTCCAGCCAAGCCGACCTTGAGCAACCTCGTAATTGAGTCGAAGGGAAGCCCCTTCCCTTTGATCCCTCCCCCGCCGGGAGGGGGGGGGGGTAGCGACCCCCCCCCCGGGTCAGATACGACGCCCCCCCCTGGGACTCCTCTTCCCCTGGGCTCCAGCCAAGCCGACCTTGAGCAACCTCGTAATTGAGTCGAAGGGAAGCCCCTTCCCTTTGATCCCTCCCCCGCCGGGAGGGGGGGGGGGTAGCGACCCCCCCCCCGGGTCAGATACGACGCCCCCCCCTGGGACTCCTCTTCCCCTGGGCTCCAGCCAAGCCGACCTTGAGCAACCTCGTAATTGAGTCGAAGGGAAGCCCCTTCCCTTTCATCCCTCCCCCGCCGGGAGGGGGGGGGGGTAGCGAGCCCCCCCCCGGGTCAGATACGACGCCCCCCCCTGGGACTCCTCTTCCCCTGGGCTCCAGCCAAGCCGACCTTGAGCAACCTCGTAATTGAGTCGAAGGGAAGCCCCTTCCCTTTGATCCCTCCCCCGCCGGGAGGGGGGGGGGGTAGCGACCCCCCCCCCGGGTCAGATACGACGCCCCCCCCTGGGACTCCTCTTCCCCTGGGCTCCAGCCAAGCCGACCTTGAGCAACCTCGTAATTGAGTCGAAGGGAAGCCCCTTCCCTTTCATTCCTCCCCCGCCGGGAGGGGGGGGGTAGCGGGGGGGGTAGCGACCCCCCCCCCGAGTCAGATACGACGCCCCCCCCCCGTACCGACCTTGAGCAACGTCGTCATTGAGTCGAAGGGAAGCCCCTTCCCTTTCCCTTCCCCGACGGGGGGGGGAGAGGAGGTCCCGGGGGGGGTCCCGGGGGAGTCCCGGGGAAGTCCCGGGTCAGATACGACACCTCCCTCCCCCACCTTCTCGTCCTTCTCCCCGTTCCCCCAAACCATCCCACAGCCCGTGCCTCTTGCTGCGCATTGCGAACAGGGTCGGCGGCACCGGCCGTCAGGCCTTCGCAATATACTAAACGTGGCCCCGGGCAGTGGAATCTGCTTGAGGCGGGAAGGATGCGGTGTACAAAACAATATCGAGGATACTTGTTCCCAACCATCGTGTGGTGTCGGGTCCTCGTTTTGAATAGGCAGCGCCCCGCGTTTCTCACTCTTCCTCCAACCATCCCGTGCCTTTGCTCTTCGCACAACCACTTCGGCACCACGTCGGCACACCGCTCACAAAAGACGCTACCCTGGAAAACCCGAGGGTTGGGGGAGAGCGCGGGGAGCGCTGCGCGTTGGGTAGGCACGCGCCCGCGGGGGGGGGCGAGCGGCGCACTCGTCGCTCGCCGCTCCCCGCGGGAGCGCGCGGGTGCAGCGACACCCCGCGCCCCACCCCAACCAAAGGAGCGGCGAAGGGTGAGGGGAAACAAAAGCCGCCACGGCGGCCCGCGACGCGCGCACCGAGGGCGCCAGCCTCGCGTTCGGCCGACAAGCGCCCTCGGGGCAGCGCGCGCGACGCGGGGGTATATTTACCCTCCCCCCACCGCAGGGAGACGTGGACAAAGAACACGAACAAGACGAGGAACACGAAGTCCATGAAGACCTGAGGCGAGCCACCCCAAACGCACCCCCCAACCGACCCAACCCGCCCCACCACAGGCACCGCGGCGAACCGCGGCGCCAGCGGCGGGGCGGCAGGGGTAGAAGGTTCCCAGGTCCGCGTTTTTGTGACAACGAACAAAACTGCGTTGTGTTCTCGCCCACAAAAGACGCTACCCTGGAAAACCCGAGGGTTGGGGGAGAGCGCGGGGAGCGCTGCGCGTTGGGTAGGCACGCGCCCGCGGGGGGGGGCGAGCGGCGCACTCGTCGCTCGCCGCTCCCCGCGGGAGCGCGCGGGTGCAGCGACACCCAAGGCCCTTGCTGCACCTGCGCGCGAGGAAAACCCAACGCTGTTCTCGCCGAAGGTGTTCTATAGGCTCACAGCCACCTCAGTCCTTGTCTTCGTCGCTGGACGAAGCGCCGCCGTGCGCTTCCCTGACGGCGCTGTCCTCAAGCGCATCCCTGTCTAAATATGACAGGAAGGCGGCGGACCGCCAATCTCCGGCGCGAAGGATGTCGGCCAGCCGCGAGCCACGCACCGCCATGTCTTGGGCGTGGCCCCGACGAAAATCGTGGGTGCGATAGGCATCGTGCCGCGGCACCCCGAGCTCTTGCAGGGCCGCTCTCAACGCCGATAGGACAGCGTCCGGGCGGAAACCCGCAAAAGGCTGCTGGGCCGCGCTGTCGGCGCAGAATTTCCCCAGCGCGTGCACGGGGCACGTTGATGGACAGCGCGCGCACCAGCACGTGCGCGTCATCGTGAGCGGCGTGGCGCGATTCTTGCGCCAAAGCAACGTCAGCGAGATCGAGCCGTCATGCAGGCGTAGGCAGCTCTTCGGCTCGACCGCCCGCGGCGGATCGCCGTCCCGAGCGACGTGCATCGGCAGTGCTTCCGACGGCAATCGCAACAGGAATATGTACGCCGTCAAGAAAAGCATCTGCAGCTCGCGCCCCGATTGGTGGCGTTCGAGATGCTTCAGTAATCTGGCGAGGAGCGCCTCCCGAATAAACATCTTGGGCCTGGCCTGCCAAGTGTTTCGCGCTTGCACCGCGCGAGCCGCGCGCTCGACTGCCGGGTCGCTCAGCGCGTCCAGCGGGACGCGCAACAGGATGCAGACTAATCTGACGTGCGAAATATAGTTGTCGAATGTTCCTTTACAACGGAAGCATGTGCTCCACAATGCAAGGCCCTCGGGCGACGGCGGAATCACTTCCCCCGCGTCGCAGCCGAGCACGGTCATGGCGAAAGTCGCCCAGCAGCGGAAGGCGCTGACTACGCTGGGCCACGTTTTCGGGCAGCTGCCCAGAATCGCGGCGACCCGAGCCGAATTCGACCATTCGCTGAAGCTTCGCTGGGCGAGGCCCTGCCGCAGGGCCTCGACTTCACGGCGGGGGCCCGCGCGCGGCTCGATGGTGCACTGGCGCGCTATGCTGACGGCCAGCTCAAGGTCCCGCACAGCACCGCAAGCCGCCGAAAGCTCATCGCACTTGGCAGCTCGCCGCCTGGCAGGGCGACTGCGGCTGCGGCACTCGCGCTGATGCACGTCGGGTGCAGGCGGAGGTTCGTCCTTTGCGCCGCGCACGACGGCAGATGGCTTCTTCGCTTCGTTAATTAACTCTGACAGCGCTACGCGCAGGGCGTCAGGGCTGACGCCTCGTTCCCCTTCTGCGGCAGACACCGGTTCGAACCAATCGACGCGCGCTAGCTGCAGATCTCTGAGATGCGTTATGTCCTGGCGCCGCAGCAACTCGATCAACGCAAAGGTAACCATGGGTGAAAGCTCTGGCAGGACGCCGCGGACCTCATGAAACAACGTCATGGCTTATCGCTCG